GAGGAGGAATGACAACAGACTCGGTAGAAGTCAAATCAATCAGAGTTTACTATGAACATTTATAATAAGCAAGTTCAACAATCTAGAAGAGATGAACAAATTCCCAGAACTCTAGAACCACCCAATGCTAGGTAAAGAAGAAACAGAACACCTAAACAGACCAATTTCAGGCAGTGAAATTGAAACAGTAATCAAAACACTCCCTCAAAACAAAAGCCCAGGATCAGATGGCTTCACAAATTAATTTTACCAAGTATTCAGAAGTGAATTAGTGCCTATCCTACACAAACTCTTTCAAAAAATTGAGAAAGAAGGAATAAGCCAAATATGTTCAATGAAGCCAACATTATATTACTACCAAAACCAAACAAAGACAGTACACACGGAAAAGCATAACTATAGGCCAATCTACCTAATGAACACTGATTCAAAAATCCTCACCAACAGAATCCAACAATGCATCAAAAGGATAATACACCTCATACAAGTAGGATTTATTTCAGTGGCACAAGGATGGATCAACATCTGAAAATCAATTATATGTAATAAAACATATCAACATAAAGAAAAATAAAACCCATATGATCTTATCAGTAGATGCTGAGAAGACATTTGACAAAGTTCAACATCCATTTATGATGAAGGCCCTTGAAATTCTCAGGATAGAAGGCACACATACCTTAACATAATATATGACATACACATAGCCAATATCATTCTCAGTGGTGAAAAACTGAGAGCCTTTTCTTTCAGATTAGGAATAAGATAAGGACGTTCACTGTCACTACTGCTCTTCAACATAATACTGGAAGTCCTAGCCAGAGCAATAACAGGAAAAAGACATACAAGGAATCCAAATAGGAAAAGAAGAGTAAAACTATAATATTTGCAAGCTATATGATAACATACGTAGAAAAACCCTAAAAACTCCACAGAAAAATTAATCAAAATAATCAACCAGTTCAGTAAAATAGTGGGATGCAAATCAACACAAAAAAGTCAGTAGCCCTCCTGTATACAAACAACCAATCTGAAGAAGAATAAATCAAGAAAATCATCCCTTTTATAATTGAAACAACAACAACAAAAAAATCAAATACCTGGGAATAAATCTAATGAAAAATGTGACAGAACTATACAAAGAAAATTGTAAAACTTTGTTAAAAGAAATAGAAGGCATACAAAAAAATGGAAAGACATCCCCTGCTCATTATCAGAATGGCCATCTTACCAAAAGCAACTTACAGATTCACCACTATTCAAATAAAAATTTACATGACATTCTTTAAAGAGATAGAACAAATATTGATGAAATTCATATGGAACCACAAAACAAACAAACAAACAAAAAAAAAAACAACTTGAATAGCCTTAGCTCTTTCTCACCAAAAAGAAGAATGGATGTATCACACACCCAGACCTCAAACTATAACCACCAAATCATAATAATTAAAACTGAATGGTACTAAAACAAAAACAGACACACAGCCTGTGGGAACCATATAGATAACCCAGAAATAAACCAACATTGTATGGGCAACTAATTTTTGACACAAAGGAGCAAAGAATATGCAATGGAATAAAGACAATTTGTTCAATAAATGGTGCTGGGGGAAACTGGACCACCACTTGCAAAAGAATGAAACTAGACCACTACATCACACCATATACAAATATCAACTCAAAATGGATGAAAGAACTGAACATAAGACTTGAAATAGATAGAAGAAAATATAGATAAAACACTACAAGACATAACATCTCAGTAACATCTTTAAAGACTCATTCCCCCCAAAGCAAAGAAAGTGAAAGAAAAGATAAACAGCTGGGATTACTTCAAACTAAAATGCTTCTGTGAAGCAAAAGAGACATTAACCCAAACACACACCCTACTGATTAGAAGATTTTTGCACTCCACACAACTGATAAGTGATTGATTGAAAGAATTAACACAAAACAAACTAAATATCCAGTCAAAAAATGGGCAGAAGAACTTAAAAGACAGTTCTCCAAAGAGGAAATGCAAATGGACAACAGGCATATGAAAAAGTGTTCAACAGCCCTCATAATCAAGAAAATGCTGATCAAACCTACAATGAAATACTACCTTACAGCAATAAAAAAAAAAAAAATTAAAAAAAACTAGCAACAGCAAATGTTGGTGAGGATGTGGTGAAAAAAGAACTCTCCTGCGCTGCTGGTGGGAATGCAAACTGCCCAACCACTATGGAAAGCTGTGTGAAGATTTTCCTTAGACTACTAAAAATGGAGCTTCAATATGACCTAATAATTCCACTCCTAGGAATCTACCAAAAGACACAAAAAATTTAATTCAAAAGGATACCTGCACCCCTGCGTTTTCTATGGCACTATTTATACTAGGTAAGACTTATAAACCACCCGAATGTTCAACAACAGATGACTGGATCAAGAGATGTGGTCTATATACACCATGGAATACTATTCAGCTGTCAACAAAAAGTCAGTGCTATTAGCCACAACATGGATGGAACTAGAAGGAATTATGCTCAGTGAAATAAGTCAGAAGACGCCTCCCTGGTGGCATAAGGGGTTAAAGCACAGTGCTATGAAGCTATACTCAACACACCACAGCACGAATTCCATCCCCAGCCAGGGAGCTGACCCACATGGCACAGCAGACCTCTCCTGTCTCACCCGCTGCTCCCCTCAGCAGTGGATTTCAGTCAATCTGTCTGTTCTTTTCCCCACTCTGTCTCTGTTGAATCCTCTCATCCCCTGCACCTCAGCCTGTACCCCAGTTCTCATATGTACAAATAAATAGATCTTTAAAAGAAAAAGAGTCAGAAGGAAAAAGAAAAATATCAGACTATATCACTTATCTGAGGAAGATAGGGGAACTAAATAAAAGATTGGGGAAAATATTAACAATTAAAACACACAACAAAACAAAACAAAAATAAGCAGACAACTATAAATCAGTAATTCTGCAGGGGAGGGGAGAGAGTGCAGAGGAGATGGGAGGAGCCTAAGGGACTGTGGTGATGGTTCATGGTGAACATGTGGTGGAAATTCTATGCTATGGGGACTATACCATAGCAAAAGAAAGCAAACATGGTTAAAAAAAAAGAAAGAAAGAAAAAAGAAAATGAACAATGATATAGAACACACACACACACACGTATTTAAATTTAAAAAATTAAACTCTGTGGCCTAAATTAAAAACTTCTATGTTTACTACTTTTTTTCCACCAAAATGAGACTTTGCTTGCCTCTCATTTACCTCTCAGGCTTCTCTAAGTAACTGGGATTTCTTGATTTTTTTTTTAATTCCACTCTATATCTTTTTCATATTTACCTTTCTTGTTCTAGTCGCTTTTTTTTTTTTAATCAAATGTTAGCATGTCATGGAAAAAACTAAAACTCATTTAACAATTTCTCACTTCTTTTGTGTCATTAATTCTCAAACAAAACACTCTTATCTAATGAGAACCAGGCTGGTAGAGATTAAAACAGGAAGATTATCTTCCTATTGCACAACCCATCCTTAACCAGATTATGGCTGTTGATTTACTTATGCTCTGCATAACTACTCTAATATTACTCTCCCCACTTCATACCACATCTCAATATCCCGCCTGTATCTTCTCTTAAGTTTCAATACTGAAAAAGTTTTAGTTAGAAATCCCTCACCTTGCAACTCCATGCACGGCTCAGTTTGAACTTGCCATCCATGTTTCACTCTCCCTGCTCCTCCAAATGATCTTCCCAGGAGGGTGGGCAGGCACAAGACCAAAGCATCAGGAGAGCAGAGGCTGAAATATAAGTACCAGGAGTCCCTTCCACCCTGGGACACCCCAGATCTTCACTGCAGCTGCTGCCTTCCTGCCAGATCAAAGCCCTCGTCTTCCTGGTACTTATCCTCTGGTTGAAACTGAGCCAAGCTCATCTCCCATCCAGAGCGGTTGGCAGTGCTCTCATCCTTCAGGCAGATGACCCGGCCCACATGTTAGAAACATAGGATGACTTCCAGAAATGGAAAATGCATTTCTATTTAGGAATTAGGAGTATCTTAGGCTGCAGAAAAATCCAGCTCAACAACAACGATGTATTTAAGAAAGCCCCTTTATTCATTTTAGGGTGTTTCGACTTCTCAGCTGGAAAGCTTTACTTTATATTTCTGGCAAAAAATCTTTACTTTGTATTTCTGGCAAAAAAAAGTTTCTAAAACATTTTTTAAAAAAATATATATTTTTTTATGTGGAATAACTAGGTTGTAGGCCAGCAGTACAGGGATGAGATTTCAGAGACAGAGTGAGGAGCAGAAGAGACAGATCTTCTGAAATCCAGTGCTGAGAGCAGCAGCGGGGGAGACAGGAGAGGTCTGCTGTGCCATGTGGGAATGTGGCACATGTGTGGTGGAATATTATTCGGCCATAAAAATGAGTGAAATCTTGATATTTGCAACAATGTGGACTTCAAGGACATTGTGCTAAGTGAAATAAGTCAGATAAAGACAAGTACCAAGTGATTTCACTCACCTGTGAAGTTTTATGAAAACAAATCACATATTTGAAAGTTATTAAGAGAGTACTTTCAGAATTCTCATCACAAGTAAAACCTTTATCACTGTGTGGAGTAATGGGCGTTAAGAGTTTTCTCTATGGACATTTCACAATATATGCAATATCATTATGTTGTATACCTGAAAACTAATACAGTATTAGATGCCAGTTATAGCTCAATAGAAAACAAACAAACAAACAACAACAACAACAACAAAGCCCAAAGGAATAAGGTAAAGTATTTTACCCTTGGAGCACTTTAAGTTTATTTGGTAAGACAAGAATGTAGACAAATAATAGTAACAAAAACCCAAACGGATGGGGCACTGACTATGGCTGTGGTACCAACTGGTAAATTTTCATGTGCAGTGTGTTTTGGTAAGTGTTAAATCATTTTGTCATAATGTGAAGTTTTAAATCATTATCAAGTTAAATGTGGTATGTATGTCTTTACAGCAAGTTTATTTCTGATCGAGAAAGTCGAAGAAGTCTCACAAACAGTCATTTAGAAAAAAAGAAGTGTGATGAATATGTAAGTGTTCTACAATAGCGCATGCTTTAAGAAAAATAATATAATAGTTTATTTTTACATCATTTTGTGCCTTGTCCCATCTCAGTTGTAATCCCCATGGGTTTCCCATCACCAAATCACCATAGCCCAGTGCATTTCCCTCCCCCCACTGTTTTTGATCCCATTCCCCACTCCACCCCCACAAAATGTCTCTGGTCTATAACTGTTCATCATTATTATTATTTTCTCCCCTGGTCCTTTATACGCCTGCTATGAGTGAACCCAGCTGGTATTTTTCCTTTTCTTTCTGGCTTATTCCACTGAGCACTGCATGCTTGTTTTTTGACCACTTAACAGTTTAATTCATCTATCATTATACCAAAAGCATAGCCGTTTTATTCACCAGTATATACCTTGTATCCTATGTGTTGTCTCCTAAAACCCATTGAAGAATAACTGGGGAAGGCGTTTTTGAGTTAGGAACTATATTGGTTCGTTATAGTGCTTTAAAGGCTGTATGAACTTTTAGATACACTTTTGCTTAGTATGGATGTTTGTCTCTGTTCAGATTCCAGGAACAACCTCCCTGGGAATGTCTGTTTTTAACCTAAGCAACGCCATCATGGGCAGTGGGATTTTGGGACTTGCTTTTGCATTGGCCAACACTGGGATCCTACTTTTTCTGTGAGTGATGACTGATATTATAGTGCTTTCTATTTTAAAGTTCTATTTTCTGGATGTTTCTGTTCAGATGTAGAAAAAATTGAAAGTGTTTCTAAGTGTGTTTATTTTCATGTTTTTACCAACTTGGCTAAATTTTATCTCCTTCCTAGTGTTTTTTTTGAATGATTTTTCAAGATGCACGTAATATTAGCAAGAAAATAAAAGGAGAGCATCCTTTTATTAAACAAAAATACTGAAATGAGCATTTATGAAAAGGATTGAAATATGTAAAAATAACATTTTGGGTGTAATTTTGGACTTTTTGAGTATCACCATAAGTTCCAGTCAAATAATAGTAAGAGGTGCGTTAGCCCAGCCCACCACCGGGTGCATGGCTGCCTTGTCACAGCATCTGTGCCCAAAGGTAACTACAAATTGATTTATTGTAAGTATTCAAGAAGCATAAGAATTTTCAGTGTTTGGAAGGTGAAAAATAAGCATGTACTTTTCCTTTGAAAGAAAAGAAGATGCTCAATTTTCTCTTTTAAATAACGTCTCGCACTGTTGAATGTGTTTTCCAATGTCCAGAGGGCTTATTTTCAGTTGGAACAAAATTATGCCAGAAAACTTCTCACCCAGCTTGATGCTTCTCTTAAACCTCAAAGGGGTGTCGGGGGCCACTTTCCCTGATGAGGCAAGGGGGTCATTCTTCTTTCCCAGATCTTACCACTCTAACACTCCTTTTTTGCCCTTGCTCAGTAATCGGCATTGCTGGGTCATTTTAATGGGAGCGTGATTTCCACAAGTAGTATCCCACCACAGCTATTAATACAAATTGTGGTGTTCTCTAGAAAACTACTGTGGCAGTGCATGACTGTCTAGGCCATTACTCAGAGATAAGAAATGCCCAGGCTGAGCCTTGGTGCCAATATTCTTGTGTGTTTGTAAATCCACTCAAGGCTTCTTCCTAGAATTAAAACCTCTGTGTAGGACAGTGAATTTTATGCATTTTTCCTCCTTATTATCAGCTGAAGCCAACCAAATAGAGCTTCTTCTTTTTACATAGGGAATAGTAGGCATTTTCCAAGTTGGCTTTCTGTTTTCATGTATCTTATATCAAATCTCAGGTTTGAGGATAAAGTGAGAGTTGGATATTTTTCTTTTTAACAAAGGTTTATTTTATTTATTTATGCATACAAAAACTGGGATGAAAGCCAGATGTGCAGGAGGTGAGAGGATTTACCAGATACAGAGTGGGGAGCAGAACAGCTGGGTCTACTGAAATCTACTTCTGAGGGGAATAGTGGACGAGACAGGAGAGGTTTGCTGTGCCTCGTGGGTCAGCTCTCTGGCCTGGGATCAGACCAGGCCACAGTGGAGGTAGTTTGATAGCTCTGAACCTTTAACCCCTGAACCACCAAGGAGGCCCAGAGTTAGACATTTCTGTGATGATTTTTGTTTGTATGTGTGAAGCTGACACTAAAGTTCTTGCAGGTGTTGCTTGTGTAGCTGCACTTCTGAATTCCAGCACCTTAGCTTGAGACACCTGACTGACAAGCAGTTCTGCTCCTCAACCGCTCTATCATCTTAGCCACCCAGCTAATTTCCTCCTCTTTGAGACAAGCAAATTGCACTAGAAGAAATCTCAGAACCTTTCCACCGTCAAACCCCAAGAGCTCTATTTTCATTCATTCCAAAGCTGGGAATATGTTCTATTCAGAAATGTGTTTACATTGATTTTTTTTTAAAGATTTATTTATTTATTCATACAGAACTGGGGTACAGGCCAGAGATGCGGAGGGTGAGAGGATTCACCAGGCACAGAG